GGATTCTCACCTGGTACTTAATTCCTGCCAGCACCCAGTTTTCTGCATCTGTTGATGCTCGTTTCTGTTGCAGGTGGCTTTCTGTTTGAAGGTCTCTCTGATGATGAAGATGACTTCCACCAGGTAAGCAGCGAGGTTGGGTGCAATGGTTGTTTTGGACTTGCAATATGGGTTTAACTTGTAGCCCTTGAAGACTCAAAAGGTTTTCTCGCTATCTCATGAACAGCACGGGCTGCTCTGTCTCCTAGGGGTATTGTGGAAACAAACATGTTGATTGAGGCGTCCTTGGATGCTGTTTATGGTAGGATTTTCGTGAGTGCTGAGGTAGGGTCACAACAGAAGATTGCAGAAGCACAACTTGGAACAGCACTTGTCTTCAGAGTAAAAACCTTCACAGCCAAACTGATGCAGAGACTGTTGTGCACAGATGAACATGGCTGAGAAGCATAGGAGTGTTGGTCCTTGCCCTTCTGCAATGTAGTGGGGTTTTCCTCTCCAAAGGACAAAGTATTTTATAAGAGAAATTGCATATTCTGGCGGAAGAAGTTCCTGTTAACAGCTGGTTGTTTTGTTATGGGCTAATAACACTTTGTTTGTGAGCTGATGGATAATACGTTAAAAGGATTACTGCCAGTTTTACTGCCAGTTTCCACAGCTTTATAATAGCTGAGTTTGTGCAAAAAAGCACATCCCGTTCTGTCATGTTTATTTTTTAAAAGTTCCGCGCTTGTGAGTTTCAAGTATTGTAGGAAAGGGATCCCTGGAATGAGCACATGAGCCAGATTTTCCTGAGGCATGGGCACCAACATGTGTGGTTTGGGGATTTTTTTTTTTTTTTTATTTTTTTTTTCCTCTCTCCCCTATCCACGCAGAGCACAAGATCTACACCATCCAGCAGCACTTCTGGTTCCCGCCCAGCTTCCCTTGGCTACGCCGGGGCTGCCGGACCCCGGCCGATCACCCAGAGCGAGCTGGCGACCGCGCTGGCACTGGCGAGCACCCCAGAGAGCAGCTCCCACACACCCACCCCTGGCACCCAGGTACAACGGCAGCGCAGCGGCAAGGGAGATCCTCCTGGGCCATAAAACCAGCGCTTTGACCGAGCGCAAGCCCTGCTCTGGTCTGGGAGCCCTTGCTGGTTTGTTTTCTTACAGCTGACTTCTCCACACGGGCTCGGGGCGGCCTGATGGTGGGGTGCAGCTCTGTTACCTGTGACAAGTGTTCTCCTGATCCATGTGCAACTTCATTCCTCCTAGGGTCACTCCTCTGGGACCTCCCCGATGTCATCTAGTGTCCAGTCAGGAACACCCATCACCAACGACCTCTTCAGCCAGGCCTTACAGCACGCCTTGCAGGCCTCAGGGCAGCCCAGCCTGCAGGTCAGTGTCGCAGCCTTTCCTTGGGGAGCCTGTGAAAGGCCCCTGTTGCATCGAGCGTTGCAGGGTGGAGGGGGTTCTTCCAGCTGCCTCCTGCGGCAGGACGTTAAGCCAAAAGGGACATCTTTCAGGAAATGTGCTTCTTGCAGGAGGTGTGAGAGACTGATGCCAGAGTACTGGGTGGGAGCGGGCTGGTGGATCTGGGGAGTTTGTGGGAAGACTTTCAGCTTTGAATATCCATTTGTGCTCTTAGCTTGTGAGCTGGAGAGAGGTGGGAGAACGCAACGTGGAAGAGTGGGCTGTGGAGAAGGCTTTGTTCCTGCTTGGACCCTCACACCTACCCTTAGCTTCTTCTGTTTCCCATCTGTAGAGCCAGTGGCAACCACAGCTTCAGCAGCTGCGAGACATGGGCATACATGATGATGAGCTAAGTCTCCGAGCCCTGCAGGCCACCGGAGGGGACATTCAGGCTGCCCTGGAGCTCATCTTTGCTGGTGGGGCTCCCTAGCTTTTCGGGCGGGAGAATCTGGACTGGTGAGTTGCACCGAGGCGGCTGTGACATTCCTTGGGCTGGGACTCGGCCCTGAAACTCTTCTCTGCACTGGGGTTCCTCTCGCCAGCATGGAGCGGTTGGGGTGGCTGCCCCTTTCCTTGCAGGTGAGCAGCGTGCTCCTGGCTGAGAGCACTGACCGTGCTGAGGGCAGCTCCTCCAGCTCCACAGAGCTCTCTCCAGCCTCCTCCTTGTGGCCACCAGAGATGGGACCTCAGAACTTTGTCCAGCACTGAGAAAGAGGTGGCTCTCTGTGTGTTGGAGAGGTGTGGCACCTGCGGTTTCCGCAGTCTTAGATCTGTTGACACGTTCTCCTGCTTGTTGTTTCATTCCTGCTCACCTGATATGCCTCAGTCTAGCTTGTTTTGCTGTTGTGGTCCCTCTGTGTTTAACTGTATTAAATGGACTGTATTCACTTGCCTGTTGTTTGGGTTGTGATCTGTCCGGGGTCGTGCTCCAGATCTGTGAAGGAAACCACAGAAAATGGTTTGCCTGTTGTAGGACTGTTGTTATTTCAGCAGAGGGCACTCCTCCGACAGAGCAAAGCTGTGTCTGTTAGGCGAGCAGTGTTTGGGGTGTAGCTGACCTGCACAGCCATCCTGCCATGAGTTAGGCCGATACTAAAGAACTACTTGTGCTACAGATACTCTTCAAGAAGGTGCTGAAGGGAAGCATCGTGTCTCCTTCTCAGCAGAAACCTGGTTGTTCTCAGTTGTGTGGGGCGAGGCTGGTAGAGTCCTACAAGCTGACAAGAACAAGGGTACGGGTCCAGGACTTCATGGCCATCACAAGGTGACAGTAAGGAGAAAAAAAAAAAAAAAAAAATGACAAGCACAAGGGTTGAGGCAGTTGCCAGAGAACGTGAGATGCTGCCAAACGGCTTGGGAGAAATGCCTTGTCTGTCTCTGACACAGGTTAGTCCCGGGTGCTGCGTTTGAGGTGCCTAGGACGTGAGCTGCAAAGACAATCAAAGGCATTTGCCTGTAATTACAGTCAGTGGGAACGGAGAGAAGCCAGAACCAGAGCTGAGCCTGGCTTCGCTCCGACTGTACCATTGAGTTTAACAAGGCGTGAAAACGGGAGCTGGTTTGCCTGAAATGCCACCATGCGTTACTAGGGAAGCTAAAAGTAGAAAATGCTTTCCTACCTTCAGGCTGCCTGTGCTCCCCTCTAATTCCTTTTCAAGCGCTATGATCGCTTGCTGATACGATCTCAGCTATCACCCAGCAAATGCTGGATTGTTCTCTCCAGGGTAGCCTATTGACTGATAGACTTTAATCCTGTCTAGAGGATTAAGTCTCTCGGGAAGGAGGGACTGTTTTTATTTTTCAGTGTGTAGGAGATAAGATGTGATGGCCATAACCAGCTTTCCTGACTTGATACGCTCTTCCGGGTTACTGCCCTCATTATCCACCCTGGCAAACCACTCCAGATGATGGCTGTGATTTTACGTGTATGAAAAGTGATTAATTTGTTCCCATCCCTGGTGCCTTCAGCCCTCGCTTTGCGGGGGGGAGTGGATAGCATATGCACAGCATCCTTCCTTCCTTCCCCACTGTGCAGACAAGCCCTGCTGTCAGCCCTCAATCCTCCCAGGCTCACTGAGGATTAGCTGTATCGCAGATGCTGCCGCCCAAATCTGGAAAGCATTTGCAGGCTCTCCCAGACCTGCTCAGGGCTAGCAAGACTTGCTTTGGGACCAGGGCGACTACTTTGCTTTGCTGTACCGTGTCAATTCTCAGCCTAGGCCAGCCTTGGGTGTCCCCAAGTGGTATTTCTTCTCTGTCCTGACCTTACTCTTACGATTTGATCACTTTGTTGCCTCACGCTTTGCGTTAAGTAGTTTCTTCTGTTAGAATGGCTATTTCTGCTTCTCCTCGTGTCTCTGGATAGTTGAGAATTGCCTGGATATTTTGTATGGGAAGAACTTTTTCCCGAGTTCCTTCACAAACTGTGTTCCCTGACTTGCAGCACCACACCAGACACCTTCTCTGTCTGAACTGGCTATAGCAGAGAACTTGGCACCGATGCTGACGATGCGACTGATGCGTGCGCTTCGCTTCCCTCATCTCGCCTGCCTTTGGCTGCCTAGAATAGACGTGCTCAGCAACCAGGCAAATTTAGAGATGCAGGGATGGGAAGAGAGGCTCTGCCTAGCACCTGCAGGGCTGGTAATGGGAGAGGAGGAGGAAGGGAAACTTTGATGCAGGAGCTCTTGTAGGAGCGTGGAAGCTCAGAAATCCTCAGAAGTGGCTCCGCAGCAGCCAGGTGAGCGCTGCTTTCCCACCTGCTCTAAGGGCCCAGTGCCTCCAGCCTCCCAGCTTTGAGATGAAAGCGATGCTGGCAGCCACCTCCATGTGCAGAGAAAGCTCAGCTCTGCTGAGGGAGGAAAAACCGGCTGGGGAGGAGGCTGCAGGAGGCACACGCTCGTTTGGAGAGGCCCCTCGCTTGGGGTTAGCAGCCTAAATGTGGCTTTGGGGATGTGGCGTGAGGTCTCTTGTCCGAGCCAGTTGTCCTGACTTCTGCAGTCACTAGAGGAGCTTTTATCCCAAGGGAGGTATTGAACACAACTGGAATGACTCTGGGAGACGCTGGTATCCCACTGCTTGCCGAGAGAGCAGCCAAGTCCAGGGGCTAACTTGCCAGTGGCTGAACCCAACAGGTTCTGCTCTTTGGGAGCAAATTGCGAGGCGCTGTCTCCCGCCTGCCTGTTCGTTGTGGTCCATCCTTGGTGCCACTGCCCTGACGGCTTCCCCCTCCTCCTCCTCCTGCACCAGCTTTGGTTGCCCTTGCCACGTTTGCGTTCGAGGTGCATCCCTCGGCGTAGCTGTGTTCTGCCTGTGTGCCCAAGCTCTGCCAGGCTTTGTTTGCCAGCCAAGCAGCCGTGACGTGACTGCTCCCTGGCACTGCAGTGGGAGCAGGCTGGGAGGTGCTTGGCTGACCCTTTGGAAGAGGCGGAGGTCGGACCACGGTTCCCCAGCGTAAGCGCTGTCAGTGGGGACTTTCTGGTTCTGACATCAAAGAGAAATTTTTGCTTCCCTTCCTTCCCTTGCCTGTAGCGAAGCTGATGAGGGAAGCAGTAACAGCGGGTGTTTTCAACAGGAATGGTAGCAGCTGTTTGTACTGTGTTTTCGGTAATCTTGTTGTTTGTTCTGGTGCTTGACCGTCGATGATGGTGCTTTGTGGACACCTGCAGGGGTTGGCAGTTTGGCTGAGATCTAGGATCTTCACCATACGTGCTCTGCTTTTCCACTTTGGCCACCTTGGTGGCTTTTTCACTGTTTCCACCCTGTCTCTTTCTGCCTAAGACAGTCCTGAGCTGACTCTCTCCATGAGTTGCAGAGCAGTGTTGTGTGTGGGGGGTAATTTTCCAGAAAAAGGGTGACATAGAGACAGAGGAGAACACCCCAGGCTTCACATCCCTGATGGCTTTTGCAGTACCTTGGCCTGTGTGACTGCCCACCTCCATCTTCTTCTGCCTTCACAACGATGCTGGCGCCTTCCTATGCGAAGTGATCACAACCAGCAAGATCTACCTCAGGAGCAGAAGTTGAGGTATTAATTGTTTATGTGCAGATGCAGTCTCTCTGGTGTGGGCATGCTTGGGTGGTTTGCTGGATCAGATTGTAAACCGCCCAAGTTTCAAGCTCTTTAGCGTTGATTTCTGGCTTCAAATGACTAGTGTTGGAGAGATTTCCCCTCATCCTCCTACGTGTCTCCAGTATTTCAGAATAAATGTTTCTTCCTTGCTCGCCCAGCCAAACAGAGGCTCTGAGTGTCCCCTGGTTGCAGGACCTCGGCACAGGGACCAACTGCGGGTCCGGGCAAGGCAGCAAAGCACCTTAAACCACTGGTGCTGTTTTGCCCAGCTCCATCCACAGACAAACGTGCAGGGGCTGGAGGACTAACCACTGCAATGCCCCTGGTCATCACAGACGTCTGTACCGAGTTGGGGGAACGTGGTTCTGTTCTCCCCAAAGCGTTGTGGGGCTACACACCTTGACACCCCCCCCCCTCCCAGCTCCCCTCTGGCACGCTAATTCAGAAGATTGGAGAAGGTGACTTTTCTCCAGTGCTCCAAGATGCAGCGGCTCAGCGTCTCCCTCGGGATTTAGCAGGGCAGGAGTGAGCTTGGGCAGCCTGGCAGGAGACATCCCTGTCGTGAACAGTAGCAGGGGACTTGTCAGGCAGAGCCCTTGCCCATTGTCTTGCTTTCTTTGCAGAGGACTCGGTGGTTTCCTGGCTGCTTTCAGCTTTGCTCTTGTGGGGAATGCCAGAGTGTCAGGAAACACATAATCATTTTTAGTTTCTCTTCTTAAGTTAGCTTTGTGCTGGTTCAGTGAGCCAAACAGTCTCCCCAAGGGGAACAGGCTGGTGCCAGGGCAAAGGGAAGAGGGGGCAGCGGGACCTGGTGGGGTTTCCTTTGCAATAATGAAATCTTGGTCTTGCTCTTTCTCAGGCAAACCTTCGAGGAACAAGGACAACTGATTGGGAGTAAGGTGAGAGTCTGCAGATCAGGGCAGGTGATACTGTGCAGCTTTCCAGCAGCCCGTGTCCCAGGGGACTCAGTCCCTTTCCTAGCATGAATCAATGTTTTTCTTTACAAGATGAAAGGGGAGCTCTGTGACTTTATCACCAAAGCATCCTTTTAAGGAACTGTGCTCTGCACAGCTAAGAGTCCATGTGATGCCAGCTGAAGAACAGCAAAATAAAACTGTGGTTTTAAGGCAACTGACTCTATTTTAACTTGGTGAAAGCAGAAATGTACTGAGAATGTCACACCATAAAAATATTTCTATTTCCTAATATTTTCTTCCATATTTATAGTATTCTAATGTTTATAAATCACAGTGTTTATAAATAATCCTTTGATTTATAATAGTGCGTGTAGTTCTAGTTCTGCCTTACAAGGATGCTTGAGTTTAAGAGAATGGTAAACAAAAGGAAAGTTCAGAGGGAGGAAGATAAAGGTCTCCTGATGTATCCTTTGAAGTCAAGACAATAGCTGAGCCACTGGCTTTTGAACATGATGCTTCCTGAGCTAGTCCTCTTCAGCTGAGCCTGGAAACTTAAAACAAAAAAAACCCCACCCCAATGCTCTTAAGGTGAGACCAGGGATTTTGGGGAGCATTTCTGACCACACAGTCTCTCTAGCTGACTTCTGGGTGTTCCAGGCTGCCAGGATGCAGAATGGTTGTCCCCAAATCACTTTGAGACCTTTTCTGTTTGCTTCCCTACTACTGAAATAACGACCTTGCTGATTGAAGAGCATGGTCCACTTGTTCAGCAAGGTGCATTAGTTTAGGCGTTGAGTTTGAGGGAGAAGGTAGAGAGCTGTGGAGTTCCACTCCAGAGGTGATAAAAGCATCCAGTGGGTTATTTAGGCTCAGAGCCAGGGTCCCCTGTCTCCCTGCAATGGCCAGTAACAGATGCTGCAGAAAAACTTAAGAGTAGGGCAAGTAGAGAAAGATCCATGTCTCATAGATTTTCCAGCATCCAGCTGTCTGAGGTTTAGGGACTTTTAGCGCTAGATATGGGGTGTTAATAGTTAATAGACCCCACATGACTTTTTTCTTTAAACACAGATAAACATGTAGCCTCCGTGTCAGCCCACAGCAAGGAGCCCTGTGGTTTAGTCACAGGTTCAAAGCCTGTGACGCACAAGAGTGCTCAGCAGCTGGAAGGAAGAGATGACGTGCAGCCGTGGCGCAGGTGACTTCTGGGATGTCACCCTCTAAAGGGGTGGCAGTGGTCCCAGTAAAGCTCTGAGGTTTAATATTTGGGTGCCTGGGACTGCTGTGGCCACTGAGGCAGCAAGAGATGACAAGGATAGCTAGGGCAGTCGGGCAGTCAGGAAGAAAATTATCACTTAATCTCACTAAAGCAGAAAGGGTTGCTAATGACAGCAGAGCTCTGTAATCCCCCAGCAATGCTCAGCGTGCTGCCCTGACATCCTGCAGAGCAGACTCCAAACTGTTTACCTTGGTGTTAATTGGCTTGTTTGCGTACGGCCCCGTTCCAGGGAAGGGAGGGAGTGCTGACTGTCCTGTCTCCTCAGGATTTATTTCCAGGCTATAGCTCCCTGACATTAAATGCTTTGATCCCAAAGGATGCTCAGTTACGCATAATTTAATCATCCCATGGATCCTGCCAGCTGGTGTCCGGTCATGCGAGTTCATGTCCGTTTGCTTCTCCTCCACATTATTTTTTATTCTTTTCTTCCTTCCCTCCCAAAGGTCTATGACCTGGTTGCTTATGGCTTCCTGCAATTGCTTTCCCGAATGAGCCATGTGGGAGCGATCTGGACACAGGTAATAACCAGGTGTCACGGGCTGAGCTCAGAGGGCAACTGAGCACCACGCAGCCACTCGCTTCCCCTTTCCCCACCCCAGTGCTGAGAATGAGGAAATAAGGCAGGTTTGGGATTCGAGATAGGACAGGGAGGAGCAAATCACCCGTTATGGTCACGGGCAAAAGGCAGACTCATTAGGGGAAGAAAAGAATATAAATTTAATAAAGGCACTAACAACAACACTTAACAGACAGAGCAGGACAGTGAGAAGCACTGCCACATCTTGAGAATACTTTCCCTCACTACTCTCTCCTTCCCAGGCTCAGCTCTGCTCCCACTATCTCTACTTCTTCCCCCCAGCAGCACAGGGAGCAGGGAATGGGGGGTGCAGTCAGTGCTGCCTCTTCTTCCATCTTTGGCGGTAGGGGGAGTGGGGGAACTTCTGGAACTTCTTCCCCCTGCTCCATCGTGGTCCCCCTCTCACAGGAGACAGTCCTCCACAACTTTTTTCTGACTTGAGTCCCTCCCACGGGCTGCAGCATTTCCCTAGCTGCTCCATCATGGGTCACCAACTTTCTCCAACTGGAGTCCCTCCCATGGCTGCAGCCCTTCCTCAGCTGCTCTGGCATGGGACACCCCCGCGTGCTGCAATCCTCCCAGTGCTGAATTACAACAGCGAGGGCTGCTTCTTCCCACAAGATCCCGGCCTCCTTCAGTTACAGCCGCCTTATTTGTCCACGAGAGGCCCCTCACAGGCCATAAAGCAGTGTCTGCTCCACCGTAGATCTCCATGGGTGGCAGGGTGGGGCCACCCTGCCGTCTCCCCACAGGATACAGGGGGGTCTCTGCTCCGGCACACCTCCCCCCTCCTTTCTTCCTCCATTCCTCCACTGACCTTGGTGTTCACGCAGCTGCAGCAACTCCTCCTCACATCTCCAACTCCTCCTCATCAAGGTCCCTTCTTAAAGATGTTACCGCAGAGGCGCGGCTGACTGCCTCGGCCCTGCTGCAGAGGTGGGGCTGGCTTGGAGCCGGGGGAGCTTCGAGAAGCTTCTCACAGGGGCCACAGCTGTAGCCCCCTTCCCTGCTACCAAACAACCCCACCGCTGACTCAAACCCAGGACACCAGAAAGCAAGTGACAGGCATGAAGCCGGCAGAAGGAAGGGCAGGTAGGAAACAGGAAGAAAAATTTGCTCTTTCCTGCCCAGGCCAGTGTCCCTTTGAAGAATTTTGACAGGTCACAGGGAAAAATAAGTCAAAAGGGTCCAGCATGCGGTGACATCCTGTGCTGTTCCCACTTTCCTGCTGGAAGAGATGGAGGGCTTCCCGTGTCTGATGGAAAGAGAAACCAGTGCATCTGTGGTGCTGAGCTTTTGTGTTGCCAGGCAGGCTCTCAATTTAGAGCCAAGGACAGTGCTGATCTGCAGACACTTACCTTCTGCGTCATTTGGCCCAGAGCTGGCTATCAGGGGCCAAAATAGGAAGGAGAAGCAGGAGATAAACCACTTGCATATCTCTCCCTTCCTGGCGAGACAGATATCACTGCTGGGAGTACTTGAACACTACAAGGTCAACTTAATATCTTTAAAATAGTTTACTTTCCTGAGCAGCCTCCTCTTAATCTTATGTGCCTGGCCAGGTTGTAAGAGGCTTTGTTGGCATTTTTCCCAGCAGCAGTTTGAAATGGCTTCTTGGGGACCAGGTGACTTGCTTTGATTCCCCAGAGAAAAACGTGGACTTAAATTCCATCCTATATTGTGTCAAGGGATGGGAGAGCAGATTGCAGAGAGTGAACCTTAGTTTGTGTGTTACCAGGAGGACTTTGTGGCTTACTGGAGCTGATGAAGGGGGTTTATAAGCTTGTTTGTGGGGTGGTGGGTGCTGGACCCTTCTTGGGTCAGGTGTGGGAATCGGTATTGCTGAAGAGGCAGCTTTGCCCACTGCTGAAACATTCTCTGTTCCCACAGGAGAGTGTGGTAGCTGCTCTGCAGCACGCGGCAAAGCTGCCCTGAAACCCCGGCCCTGCCGGGAAGCAGAGGAGCACAGCGGTCAAGAAAAGAAACACCAAGAATTGCAGGTAAGCAAAAAGCAGTCTGGCCTGCTGGGCCCTCGTAGGAGCACAGAGCTGACACGTTGTGCAGCGTTATCGTATCAATATGTGGCTCTGGTGGTGGGAGTGCAGCAGATCAGTCTCAGCAAAGCGATGTATTTCGGTTCTTTTTTTGTTTTAACTTGCTTTTTAGTTGGGTAGAACTCGGCGCTGGCTTTTATTTACTTTGCCTAAAGCTTTTGGCACCCCTGTCCGAGGGCTGGGCACACGCTTGACAGTCTGGGTCACCGATGTGCGTCTGTATTACCTCCTTTCCTGCTGTCAGTGAGTTCTCGCTGAATCACTATTGACAGGGCTGCTTGTTAACGTGACAAGCAGTTCAGTGAAAGGCATTTGTCGACCAAATGGGTGTTTGTAATGAAAAAGCACGAGGTGTGGTTCGGGGTCATCTTAGATGAGCTGAGTTTGTGGCTCGTCCCTCTCCGCAAGCTCCTGTGATCAGTGAAGAGCGTGGTGAGGCTCAGGTCTGGGAGGTCCTGCCCTGGGCGAGCCCCAGGGGTTTCCTCAGCGGCAGAGGGGAGAGCACTGTTGAAGGGGAGTCCCAGCGAGGGGTTTTGTTCTGCTCTCCAGGGAGCTGAGTTCGAGATGGCTCTGCCACAGGTTTCCTTTGGCCAGTCAATGGGCTTGATTTACTAGAAAAAGATGTGCTGGGGCACGTGGTTCCTTCACCCATTCCCTGACTCGCTTTTAAAGCCCTGGGGGTGGCATTTAGCACGTGGGGGGTTCTGACCCCTTTAGTGGCACATCTTGGGGCAGTAGATTTACTGCCTTGCCTTCAGCATCGCGGCACAACTGAGAGGGCGAGGTGTACCAAGTGATCAGCCCCTCCCAGGCTCAGTCCAGCTGAAACAGCCGAGCTTGCACAAAACCAGCATGCCTGGCGAGGCTGAAGGCTTGATGGCTATTGCAGGGCTGTGGCTTTAGGAGGGGATGGGTTGAGGTTATGGTAGCTGTCTGCAAGGAATGCGAGTTAGGAGGGGGGAAGGATTTGTGTGTCCAAAGCAGAATGCAGAAGCTTGCTGATAAATGATCCACTTTGCTTCCTTTCCACCTCACTTTGTCATCTGAGGACTGACAGACCTGTTGGTCAGTGCCAAAAGAAATAGTGGAGTGGAATTTCACTTATTTTTTTTTTTTTTGTGTCTCAAAGTCTTAGGGGAACATGCTTATAAGTTGACTTGTTCCCAGAGGCAAAATGCTAAGGGGTAAGAAATAGAAGCTCTGAGCTTCCAAAGCTCTACAGCAGTCATTTACACTTGTGTCCCAGCCTCGTGGGACATCAGGCCATCCTACAGCAGGGTCCCTGCACAGGCAGGGTTTAACGGAGGATTTCCCATGCTCTGTGTCAAAATATGCAGTCCCCCCCGCCCTGTCTCATCTAGGGAGGGGCTGTGGAAACACATGTGGCACGATGGACCTGGTGAACATCAGCCCTTTGTGCCATGTTCAAAAAGGTCCCTCTTTGTGCTGTTCTGAAGCTGCCATGGCTGATAACAGCCAGAGACGGAGATGTGCTTGTCGGGTTTCTGGACGAGGTGGCACAACAGAGGTAAGATCTTACGTGGCTTTCGCAGGGATAAGAATGTTTGGGGTGTTGACGTTTTTTTTCCATGGAAGATTTGTCTGTGCTCAAACTCATCACGCCTGTTGGCTGTTTCCCAGGGTCACATTCCTGGCCTGGGGTTAGCTGAAGGTAATTGCTATGTTTGTGTGAATAATGTTCCAACATACCTGCTCTTCTCTCGTGAAAAGATGCCAGCTAAAATGGAGGTTTCATAATAGACTGCCAGGGCTGCAAACATTCAAGTGACTCCTCTGCAGTGATGAATAAAACTGTTCCTCTTAAGGAAAATCTGTGCTTTATGATTTTTACAAGATATTTGGGGGAAGTTGCCTTCTGATCCGTGTTGGAACCGACTAGCGTGATCTGGAAAAAAACTGCACTTAGTTTGCACTGCGGAAGTTTTGATACTTGAGTGAAGCAGACAGCAACCTCTGCAGGAGGGGGCTGAGTGGGATGTGATTGCTCGTGTACGCATTCCTTGTCGGGTAGTGGGAGACGTGGCATGCGGCCGAGCAGGTCCTGGGCAAACAAGCCCTCTCGGCGAAGCCCTTGCCCGCTTCGGGGACGGGTGCGGGTGTACTTAATGCACAGTGGGCTTGTGGCTGCACTCAGGGCACCGTTCTGCATTTGGTGCCTCCTGCCAACTGATACGGGGTTGGAGCAACCTTGAAACCAGCTCTACGCTCCTCCCCCAAGTACGAGCTGGGCCCCTTCTTGATCGGATTGCGGCGCAGCGTTGCGCCTCGCTGCGTGGTGTGTCTGGGGGGGGGGGGAGCTCCTGCTGGGGTTATTTTCCCAATGCGCTGCACAGCGGGGGTCATTCCACCCCCTCGACCCTCCAGACGTTGCCCAACTGTTTGAAGTCGCTTTCCTGATGCTGACCTGTGTGGTGATCTAATGTTTCTGCCTCTGTGGGAGCCAGGCTCACCTGGTAACTTTGCTGCCCTGAAGGAGCTTGTGGGGAGAAGAAAGGACGCTAAGGGGAGCTGTAGCTTCTGGAGGAAGCAAAGGCATTTGGGTGAAAACTCAGTTTTAACCACCGTTCATCTGAAGAGTTGAAACCAGCATTTTGGGTGGGCTGCTGTACACTTGCGTGTTCCAGCACTGTCACTTTTTTTTCTCCTCTGCAGCGGGCTCCTTTGCTGGTGAGCTGCATGCAGAGATCTTGCACAGCTTTGTGTCTAACTGATAGGCGCCAAGCTGTCCGTGTCTCTTGCTTAGCAAAACCAAAAGGCGCTACAGCATCATTCTGAATCCAGGACCACAATGCAGTCGTGTTCATGGGGTAGCTCAGTTTCTGGTATAGGAGGTGGAGTGGTATCGTGTGTTGAAGTAGAAAGAGGCCAGAGCTGAGCACCTCCAAAGTCTTGGAGGAGTTTGGAGCGGAATTTTATACACAGGAGCTGTATTTAGCTGTAGGTGGGGAAAAAAAGCCCAAAAAGCTAACCATGCAGAGTCCCCAGCTGTGTTAGTTAGGGGCAAGGAAAAGGGAAAGCAAAGGATTTACTGTTCTAATAAGACAGCAACTCTCTTCGTTTATCTCTGATCAGAACCCTTCTGTGTTTCCAGTTGGCAACTTTGTCAAGAGTGGGAGTTGGAAGCCAGCTTCCCAGCCCACCAGCTGCGTCGTGTCATAAAAGGCAAAGCAGATAATAACGTATGCAACACACATAATGTAACCCAAATTTTGGGGTGGATGCAAAATGCAAAGCCCCTGTGTTTATTAAGGAACCAGCATGGGCTGTTGATTTACAAATGACGTTTCTTTTTTGCTCCTGACTGTGTGAAAGAGTCTTAATGAATTAGACGTTTTTTGGGAAGCCTCCTGTGCAAGAAAACAAGTGTTAGGAGGGTTTGGTACCTCTGGGAATAACGGGACAGGGAGGGGGAAACGGGCAGCTGTTTTGAGGTGAGCAGGAATGCAAAATGGCTCAAGGCTGGGAATCACCATGTCCAAAAGTGAAAAACCAGAACGATCTCTGTGTTATCGTACTGTAATTACTCAAACAGATATTTGGTTAAAGAGAAAGATGAAACCCCATACGTAGAGTTGGTGGGGAAATTCCTGTGGGTCCTTAAAATTCACCATTAGCCATCTCATTAATTTTTTGCTTCCTCCAAAACGCCCCCCTTGCCCTGCTGCTGTTCGTCTCCTTCAGGAGCAGAGCAGTCCTGGGTCTAGCTTCAATACCAACTTTAAAGAGCGCAGCTGCGTCTCTCAGCCTTGTGGGTTCCCCGTGGGGCTCTCCTATTCTGGTCACGTCCAACCTCGCTTTCCTTGCACGCAACGCCTTGCTCTTCTCATTAACAAACCTCACAGCTCTTCACAAAGACCGTCAGCCCTTCCTGGCCTCTCGATGGGGAGGTTTGGCAAAGCAAAGTGACTTTCCAAGGGTTGTGCCACAGCCCTGGGAGCGGGGTGTGCTCAGCATCCCGTCCTTCGGGAGAACACCAGCATCACAAAAGCAAGGGCAGGGGCTTAGGGGAGGGAGTGTTTCTTCACCCCGGCTCCAAGTGGATTTCCCACACGTGTGCTGGGATGTCGTCCGCTCCCACACTCGCACCGGCGTGCTCGCAAGCGCCGCGAGGGCAGTTGGACTGCTCTGGCGAGGGGGTGTGCAGCACAAGATGAGGGACACAGCCAAGTTCTCATCATGCCTCTGGTATCTGTCTCGTCGCCTTCCTGACTTGCGATGATGCGGTCGGTTTTGGGCAGTGTTTTATTGTGCTAGGAGTGGCCCTTTGCTATTCTTATTGTAGCACCAGCAGGAAGAGGGTTGGCGCACGAGGTACGCTGCAGCCTTGCTGCATCCTTCTGATGGTAGATCAGGATCTTCTGTTAGCGAGCTGTTCCTGCTGCCTTGATACCCGAGCACGGCTTTCTGGCCTCGACACATCCTCCTATTTAAGCAACTGGGAGCAGCAGTCCTTTGTTATCGGTCTCTGCACCCTCACTCTGCTGTTGCTGCTTGGGCATTCATACACACCGGTATTTTCAGTCTTGTTTCATTCGTATCAACCTTAACATTTCTCTCACAAGTCTCTGTGATAAGTTGATTGCAAGCCTTGGGCCAGCTGCAGCTTTGCTCAGAAGCCTCAAGGTCAACAAAGCCATCAGACTCCCACCTTCCCCTTAGAGAAGGGGGGGGGGGGGGGGGGGGGGGGGGGGAGGAAAGAAAGGAGGACCAAAAACCCCAGCAAAGCCTGCAGGTACGAACTGCTGCAGGTCAGGTGCTAAATGGAGGGAGTCACTCGGTTTGTTTTTTTTTTTTGATGAGGTTTCTCCCTAGGAAGTTAAAGATAGTCCCGCCCTGTTTCAGTCATTGGCTGCCCTAGATGCTGCCCACTCTTTTGTATAAGGAATGCAGCTGTCAGCCTCACAAGCTCGTGTTCTCTGCTCCCTGAATAAGTAGAAATGGTCAGGAGGTCGCCCGTTGCCCTCTTTGTGGCCCTGTGGGCCAGCCAGCTGGGCCTGTGGGCAGCGGGGCGCTCCAAGGTGAACCCCAGGATCATCACAGCTCCACAAGGTAAGCGTCCCGGGCTGCGGCCGGCTGCAACCTTGAGATGCAGCAGCAGCGGTGTCCGCAGCTGACACCTATTCCCTGCACCGTGTATGTTCCACTGATGGCTTGTCTTTTGAGAAGAGTTGGTCTTTTTTTTTAATTTCTTTTGTCTCTTCGGGGAGACTTTTGGCTCTCATTAAAATGAGCTAAAAAGCCTGTGATCTCAGGAAAGGGCTTCTGGCTTCCTTGATTGCTTTTAGTTGAATTTTTAGATCCTCGTTCTTGCCAAGTCCTTTCCTTTTTATATTTGAAAACCATTTTCCTACAAGCTGGCTATATTAAAGGCTGCTGAAAAGCCCTAAAACAGACACAGTAACCATTTCCCCTAACTTGCAGGGAGAAATGGAGAAGTGTGTTTGCATAATATGGTTAATTTTTTTATTCATCTGATGTGCTTACCCTGGTAGTTGCAAATGAGTTCTGTGAGTAAATATTTGCAGAAGATCTCTGTTCTCTGGAAAAATATATATGTCTGAAACGGCACGCAAGGACTTACAATCAGAGCTGGTCGTAGCAGAAACTGAACAAAGAAATGTTTTTAAGGGAGCAAGCTTAGAGTACAGCCCAAGCTTCATGTGTTGAAAAGAGCAGACTAACGTTTACTGGTTTTATCATGTGTCTTCCAAGCTTTTTGATTAATACCCTCCAGGGAGGCTTTAACAAAAGACCCCGTCATGTCCCCGGCGGTTCTGGTGTTTGGCTAAGCCAGCGGGTTCAGCCGAGCTGCGGGTCTCACGCTGCTCTGCAGTACAACAGCTCCTCTGTGCATCCTATTCGCCGACAACTTCAGAGGACACGAATTTCCCCGTGGTTTATTCTGCGCCATCTGTTATTCTTCTGCCGTTATTTACGATGCCCTTCTCCTTCAGGCCCGTCGCCGCCTGCGGATGCGGGGCCAGGAGCGGAGGGGAGGGCGGTGGGTGCGCGGCTCGGAGGTGGCCTCTGCCCGCCGCGGCCGTCGCACAAAGGGGAGAGAGGCCGGCAGGGAGGTTGCTCCTGATGTCGCATCGTTGGTTTTATCTGCTGGCAGAGGACGGGGCTCGGAAGAGGGGAGGCGAGCCGGGAAGGAGGCACAGAGCCCGCGGCTGAACGGAGGACGGGGGCCGCGCATTTCCCCATAGACGTTTTCCCTGCCCCGCTCCGGGGAGGAAAGTTAAATTGCCGGGGTCCGGTGGGGCTGGAAATGCCTGTCCTGGCGTACAGCTGTGCTGAGGGGGAAGAGAGAGCTCGGGTGGTTGATTTCCACCTGTCTGCGTGGGCCGTGCTTGGCACGCAAGACGCAGGACAGTCGTTTGGCCATTCCCTGCATCTGTGCCAGGGGGTGGCTTTCCCGGCATTGAACGCAGCGAGGACCTGTCACTGCGAAACACGGAAGCCAATTAGTGTTAGGACGCTTCCCTACAAGGGGATCAGCTTGTGCTTATCTCTGTTTCTCTTTCTCTCTCTTTTTTTTTTTTTTTTTTTTTTTTTTGAGAGAGAGAGCTCAGCTGGGACATAGGCCAAGAGGGCTTTCAATTAGGGAGGTATCAGGTAGCTGTATGACACAGTCATTAAGAATCTGCCCTGCGTGCTATTTAAGATACTGCATTTTGCATGACCTCTACCCTTTAGGAAGTGAGTCTGTGGGTGAGGAGGAGGGTGGAGAGGAGGCTCCAGGGGAGGGTGAAGAAGTGAGACAGGGGCAGAGGGTGATAGGGAGCCTTCCAACTTCCCCAATGCTCCAGACACAACAAAAGGCAAGCACAGCATCTTTAGTAAAACCTGCAGGTCAGCACACTGCTGCTGTTTGCATCCATGTATAGAGGTTTATCCCTCGCCATGGCCGGGGGGGGTGGTGGTGGTGCAGGGCTCGGTTTGCAGCTCGAGCCCTGGTCCTGGAGGCTGAGAGCCAGGTGGAGAAGAGCAGGGGTCCAGGACATTTTCTGGGGCTGGGCCTGGCGTGCTGGGTTTGCAGTGGTGCAGCGCTGGCCTCAGCCCCGGGCTCTGCGGGAGCTGGCAGCTCTTCACGTAATTAAATTTCTTACACGCCACAGCCCGTCACTAGCACCAGGTATGGCAGCCTCAGCAAAGACACCTCGAGACGTTACAGCCCTGCGGACGAAGGGAGAGATTCCTGGTGCTGGCTGGAGCCCAGCTCTCTCCAGGAGGGAAGAGTTACGTGTGTGGGATCCCTCCCTGGGCTGCGGTACTGGGGGAGAGGAGGAAATTGGTGCTGGGCAAAGCCGCATCTGCCCTTCCACCTCTCAGCCTTGCTCCCCTTGCCAGCACCCCACCCAGGGAGAGAGCCCTGGCCTCGCTGCAGGCAGCCCCAACTACTCTGCTCTTTTCTCCTTCATTGTCCAGTTTCACAGCAAGGAATAGGTGAGGGGACACGGTGAGCTGGGCGAAAAATGTCGCTGGGCTCAGGTGGCACAATTCTGAGCTCAGATCTGAAGACAAAGAAACAGAGTCGGCCTGTCTCGGTGCGTGGAGCTCCTGGATTTAAGTAATTTCACAGTTCTGGAGTCTTGGACTTGTGGCGTCAGGCCAGGGTGGTGGGTGGCTGGAGCACCGTGTTCTGCAGAGCTGCCTTTCTGTTGGTGCAGTGTGTCTAAAGCCAGCCCCGAGGCCCTGGCCGCTGTTTTGCCTTTATTTCGCCTCCCTGATGCTGCAGCACAGTGCAGGAGGAGGTGAGGAAGGGGCATGCTTTCCCCAAAGATCAGCCCGGTCTCCACGCGTGCTCGGGAGCGCTTGCCGCCCAAAGGCAGGGCGGGGGGGATCCCTGGAGCCCCCCCAGCAGCTGGCACAGGTGGCTGGCTCGCCGGTCCAGCTGGGTAAGCAGCTATTGAGAAGCACGCCTGACTCTGCAGGATTTCTTCCTCTTGAGGCAGAGACACTCGGAGCAAAGGGCTGAGGTCAACTCCAGACCACTGGTCGTATCTAAAGTGCTTAAGATCCTTTGTACTGAGAAGGGCTTTGCCCCCTCTTCCCCTGTGCAGCTGACCCAGCGCACAGATGGGTATGGGTGTCTTCTGGCTGTTATTGTCCCCAGTGTCCTAACGAAGGCAGATTGTAAAGGGCAAGTTCCCTATCTGTTGAGAGAAGCAGTAAGTTCATCCTGGGCTGGTGCAGAAGCAAGTGCTTTGACCTTGCACGCTGTGTTCTTGCTTATCTTCCCTTTTATTTTCATCCTCCCCTTGCTTCCAAGTATTTTTCTAACTAAACGCCGACCAGCTGGGCTTCGCTTTGAAAAAGGTGCGCTCCTATCCCACGGTGGGCTTTTGCTTGTCAGCACAGATGCCGTATTTACTCTTCTGATCCACCTGCAGTGCCGGAGACCTCTGTGACCCGGGGCTCTCCGGGTGGCCGAGCGGGCAGGTACGGCCCCTCTGCACGGAGCGGGAGCGTGGCATCCCGCGCTGTCTCATGACCGGAAAGTCACCGAGCATCGTGACGGCAGAGGAGTGCGGGGAGGACATCAAGGACCCGGAGGGCTGGGTCAGGCTACTGTAGCCTGGGGGCTCTGGTGCAGCAAAGGAATAATTTTCAGCTACTGCCATGCTTAAGATTGTCTTGTCCCTGTTTGCTCACGTGTGCGTAGATCTGAGACAAACTCACAGCCCCGCTCTGGTTCCTTGCCGCATTTACACCTTGGGGTAGGATGGGGTCTGGCAGTTTAATTGTTCCCCTCTTTTTCATTAGCAGCTGAGGCTTGGAAGCTGGAGGGGACGGGTTCTGAGCTGGTATGTAGCTCACAGGAGATAAACAGGTCCCACAGGGAAAAAGAATGATTACACCCTTGACGCTTGGCTGCCTCAAGTGGGTAAAGTGGCTCTAGCCAGGTCACGGGGTGGGGGCATCGAAATGGCATTTCCTGGAAATGGTCCACGCTGCTCGTAGCAACTCCTGGGCTTTGCCAAGCTCCGCTGCTTCCTCTTGCCCTGGGAAAACTGTGCCAGCAAACATCTCTGAGTGCCGTAGGAGCTCTTCGTGCCCACCGGCGCAACGATGCTGCCTTCAGCTAGCAAAGGCAGAAGAGAGCTGATCAGAGATGAGGCCGAGCCTCGTACTGATGGGGAGCGGTGGCAACGTGAGGGATTGTTGTACTAGCACCAGCTTTTACTCCTCAGTGACAGTGGCACTCTTTTCTCAGGAGCCATGGTCCCACGGGTGTGAAACATCTTTGTAGGACAGTTTCACATGAAGCGCTCTGAACATCAACGTTTTCAGGAGAAAGCTTCTCACTTTCCCAGCAATGCTATTTTCTGCAGACGGCTCATTTTCACAGGGTGGGTGATGCTGGTATCATAAAATGTTGGTTGAAAATATTTTTTGCTCTGCGCAGATTGAAAAAGAAAACCAAACCAAACAAACCAAGCGAGTGAATCACAACCACCTCCTGTTGCAAGAGCGTGACACAAAAACAACAGGCATGGGTGAACTAATAAGAGTTGTGGCTGCTGCATTGAAAGGCTCAGGGCTGGGAAGGAGAGCCAGATGCAAATTGCTGACCCTCTCTCCAGCTCCGTGCCAGCCCTCAGGCCAATTCAGGATTAGAATTGCAGAAAATTGGCCTGGGAAGGTATTTGGTAGTTGATGTAGTCAGGCTCGGTGCGTTAAAGGAGGACAAACAAAATGTAAACCTGAGTGGAGTACAAGCTAAATCTAAGTACTGAGCACAAGATGCTTTTTATAGAAGCTTGTATCCAGAAAAAAAAAGGGCTGGAAGGTGAGTTAAAAGGAAGAAATTGCTTGTTTTGCTGCCAGTGCTCTCCTGTTGAGCTACATCCTACGGTGTGCGGCTATTCCGGGTTGCTCCAAGAATAGGACTTGTTCCTCTTGTTGGGCACTCTTTTCTTTTCAATCCCAGCTCCACCCAGTGTAGTAGGTTGTGTCTAACTGTGTCTGGTGTGACAGAGAAATGCAGTAGGAGTGCCCCAGGAGCTAGATGCGGAAGCATCTCTTACCGTGTCTACCAATTTCAG